ATATTAATTTCTCAAAGGTAAAGATTACCACTAGTAGGTCTTTTTTAGTAGTAGTATAATTAATTTGAGCATAATTTAAATTTATACTGGCATAATAAATCGCTTGAAATGTTTTATCTAGCCTTTATCCTTAAACCACCCTAATGGGATAGTCACTAGCATTACATATTATTTCAAAATTCATAGACCATTGAGGTAAAATGATGATATGTATAATAACTAAATATTTTTTTTAGTTTCTTAAATGCAGCTAATCTATCAAAATTAGAATTAAAAGGTATATCTTCTTTTATCAAATGGCAAAGCAGTTTAGTTATTTTTGAAAAATCTTAATGATATGCCTATAAAATCCACTATGAACTAGAAAGCTCCAAACCACCTTAACAAAAGTAGGAGGTAAATTCTCATTAACTTGGATCTTCATACTATTGACCTTCATATTCCTCTTTGAGATTTTTTTGTCCTTGGATAATGCATTCCTTCATTATAAACTTTAATTTCTCCCTATTTATCACAAGGTTAATTTCCTCACATCTCTTTAAAATAATTCTTGATAATCTAAACTCGTATTAAAGGTTATCCTAAAAATTAAAAATTCATTCGTGAAAATCTCAATGTCCTACTATATTAAGTCAAAAAAGATTAAAATTATATATCATTGAAAACTTATAAAGGCATTGCACAAACCAGAGGGCGTACATCTAAGGGGAAAGGTTTCAAAATGACTTGTTAATGTCATTTTGTCTTGATCATTTGGGGTAATTGGAATATGGTAGTAACCATAATGGCCATATAAGAAATAGTAGAAAGGTTGCCTAGATAATCTATCTAGCATGTGATCAATAAAGGATAATGGGAAATGATCATTCCTTGTGGATTTGTTAAGTTTTTTATAATTAATACATATCATCCACTCATTCACAGTCTTAATAGGAATACCCTTATTTTTCTCATTTGAAATAATAATTAACCCTCCTTTTTTTAACACAATAAATTGTGTTAACCAAATCATTATTATAAATAGAATAAATTATACCCACATCCAACCATTTTAGAATTTCTTTCTAAACCACTTCTTTCAAAGTTAGATTCAACCTCATTTAGAAGTCAACTGTAGGATGATAAGCTTCCTCCAATAGGAAATAATGCATTTAAATGGATAAAATAATGCCCCAAATGTTAGTAATAGACCATCTAAATGCTCTCTTATACGTGTTTTTTTTTTTTTTTTTGAGAAATGCAAATTGCAATTAGTAGAGAAAGAAAGCTAGATACAACTAAAGAAGAGGTTCACATTCCTTCTTCAAAAGAAAACAAAGAGAAGAAGGAATGCTAGAAAAAGAAGAACTATCAAAGTAAAAACTAGAATCTAAAGCTAAAGTAGCACAACAATCGGCTACCTTATTACAATTCCTATGAATATGATTAAGAATCACCTTATTAAGGTCGGTCAAGAACATAAAATCCTTCTCGATCCAATCCATCCTATGCCAATTGGTCTTCTTCAAAGAATCTCTTATGAAGTTGATAACATTGATATTATCTCCTTCAATTATTATTCCTCTATACTCCCTCATCCACGGTTGCAAGAATCTTCTAAGGGTCCAAATAGCTTCCATTTCAAGATGAGAAATATCCCAATGAGTTTTCTTTTCTCCAAATGCAAGCAATAATCTTCCTTTATGATCTCTAAAACATCCTCCTATTCCAGCTGAATAAGAAGACATAAGGGATGCATCCACATTGATTTTAATCCAGTCTTGCGGTGGAGGGTGCCAAGAATTCTGAAACTCCCTAGGGAGGTTAGCACCCCAGCTATCAATAACCGGATTAACATTGTTAATAGTAGAAAATAGTACATTAGTTGCTAAAATAATCACTGAATTTGCTGGATTACCATGCTGAACAACATTTCTATTTTTCCAATTCAGATAAATCGTCTCATAGTAAATTTTGACACTATTAGGAGCAATAGTGTTAAGGAGCTTTAATTCAACTAAGCCTT